GGCCTCGGGGCGCGGCGGGGTTGGCCTGGCGGAGGTGGTGCGGAAGGTCGTGCCCGTGGGGGGACCTGTCAACCAGGCGTTGGTGGGTACAGGAGACGGTGGGACAGAATGACTTGTGTGTCGTGTGTCGGACGTGCTGGAGGTAAGTGTTATGTGTGTGCTCTCTTCAGGGTGGAGTGTGGAGTGTGTCATGACGGGACTTGTGTGTTGGCTGCTGTGGCCTTTGGTAGTCTCAGGGGCTCGGGGGGACTCCGTGTGCCTTGTCTCCCTGGTGGCAGGTGTGTCCGGGGTCCCATGATGTGTAGCGATCGCTGCGGGAAACAGTGTGTGTCAGTCAAGTGCTTCTCCTCCTGGTCTTACCTGGGTGACGACCCGTCCCGTCCCCCAGTCCTGACTCGTTTTCTTCCTGCCCGCCTGTGGCTTCTGTGTGTACCTGGTGGGGATGTCCCAGGCATTCCCTGAGCGTGCCTATCGTGTTACCTTCTGTCTCCCCCTGGGGTTTTGTGAGTCCTTACTCCTTGGCTTCTGGGTTGTGCTTTCAGTTGGTACTGCTTTGCCCATGTGGCACCTTTCCCCTCCCCCACTCTCATCTGGCTGTCTTTGCTGTGCGGTGCCTGCCGCCATGGGCCTCCTGCTGGTGTTCTGGGTAAGGTCTCAGTTTCTAGGTTTCTGTGAGACGATTTGGGACGCTCGTCACCCAACCTGGAGTAGTTTCGGCTGCACTGAAGGCAGCGGCACGTGTGCTGGCCCCCTGGGTGTATGTTTCCCCTGGGGTGGGTCTCTGATGCTGGTCTTGAGAGTCTGCGCGGCTGCAGTTAGGGCGCCACGCTTGAGCCTGGGGGTTCGATGGGCACCCCTTCGTGACCCGACCTCACCTGCCTCCCTCCCATGCCGCCCCTTGCTGCTTCCATCCTGTTTCTCGGTATGTGTTGTGCCTGGTCTTTTGGGGCCTGTCACGTGGAGGCATCCTTACTTGGGGGCCCCGTGGAAGTCTCTGACGTTTGTGGGATCGGCGGTAGTGGTGTGGTCTGCTGTGTGGCCCGAACTGTGGATTGCGTGGCTGAGCTCAGCGTGAACGTCGTGGGTTTCCTTGTGGCCTGTGTCACCGTGGATCCTGTGGCCGTTGACTTGATAGAGGCTGTTGTGGCTGGTGCTGAGGTGGCCCGTGTGGTGAAGGCAGAGGTGGTTCGAGGAGAGTCTGCAGGGGGCAGAGCCCAGAACATCCCTCCAGCCCTGCTCCCACTTTCCCTGCTGATTCTGAGGTCCCTGCACCCTTTGGGAGGGCTCTGTCTCCCCTGTCCTCACCCCTCTCATTCCCATGTGCTACTGTGACTGGCCCTGGCTTGAGTGGCTTTGGTGGTGTTTTCATTGACCGTGTGGCCGTTGGGCCACTGACTGTCCATCCACCCACCGTTTCTAATACGACACAAGGTGTGTCGGCTGCCAGGAGGCCTGCTGTGCCAGGTGGGGTGGGTAGCATGCCGGGCCCGTGCCTGTTGCAGGGGCCCATCTCAGTGGCATGTCGTACGTATTTTCTATCAATAGTGTAAGGCGGAAGGGAACGGTCACGTGCTGTGACAAGCTTTTCCTAGAATGAGTCTTTTGTGGAAACCGAGGGCCATCCCGAAGCAGGGATTCTGTGCTAAGGATGCAACTTTCTGGAAAGTTCTCTCAGTGCTGAGGTGTGGGGCCCCTTCCCCAATCCGCACCCTGAGCTCCCCGTCAGCCTTGGTGTTCTCAGTGGCTGCTTAGGCTGCGGTGGGCCAGGGGGCAGAGGCTTAAATGTCCCTTCCCCTGTGACCTCACCGGTCCCCCTGTGCAGAGCAGCCCCAGGGACGGTCCTGGCGAGCTCCCTGCCCCATCCCCCACACACTGGCTGCGGATGCAGGGACAGGATTGTCTACCACGGGTCTGGGCACCCGACCCGACAGACACAGCCCCGCCGAGCTGGCAGGGAGCTGGGGGAGAGCGCCCTTCCCCTTGGCACCTAGGGCGTGTGCAATCACCTGTGGTGGGCCTGGGCGTGGCGGGTGGCGGCACTGCAAGAAAAGGAGCGGTGAAGAGGGTCTGCCCCCCGCCTCGTGCAGCTACAGGCCCCGGGGGACGAAGCTGCCACAGAGGTGCCCACGTCCCTGCTTTTCGTCTGCCTCCGTCTGCACCTTCTTCCGTCCCGTCCCATGATAAGGCGGTCGTCTGGGCGACCTGGTGCTCAATTCCCAGCGGATTCCCGGTCCACGCCCACACCCCCCAGCAGGGTGGCAGGCTTGGGTCTGGGGGACCGGGTGGGTTGATGTTTGGGGAGGAGGAAGGGAGGCTGCTGCTTTTCCTGTTTGTACTGACCGGGCTCAGACTGCCAGGGTCTCCGGGAGCCTCAGCTGGGAGGTCGCAAGAAGGATGTGCGGGGTCTGGGGGGCACGGGGTGGGGGGGGGTGCTTGGGAGGGGGCCTTGGGTGGCCGATGGGGCTTACCACAGGGAACGCAGCTCCCCTTGCTGTGGTCGAAGTACTCGTGCCGGGAGCAGTTGTAGCAGCCTGGGGAGCGGGTTGCAGAGAAGATGGTCTGGAGGGCCCCGCCCCTCTGTGTCTCCCGCCTGTCCCGGCGTCACCGCGGAAGCCTGGATACGGGCCCCCCACCCCCCGCCCCCGTCCCCAGCCCCCGACACCCCGTTCTCCTCCCGGTGCATCCTCTGCCCAGACCTCTTTCTAGGCCTGTACCTTCAATGTTGGCGCCCGGGACGCTCTGCGGGTTCCCGGGGCAGAGGCACGGCTGGTAGTGCCACGTGCAGCTGGTGTCCTGGGTTTGTGTGGGCGCACTGTCCCCCGACGTGTGGCCGTTGTAGAAATCGCAGTAGACGGCTGGGGGAAGGGGCGTCCATCAGGCCTTTGGTGCCCTGGTCGGGGGGCCCGAACGCGGGTCTGGGGGGAGGGGCCGCCTGTACCCGCGCCCGCCCGGGGAGAGCACTGCATGCGGGCGGCCTTGCCGACAGGGCAGGGCACTCACGGCAGAAGTCGGGGGTCCTCCAGTCCACACACACGCCCTTGTCCAGGCAGGCCTTGGCGTAGGCGGCAACCGCGTCGCACAGGCACTCGCAGTCCCCGCTGGTGTCGCAGCCGCACGTGTCTCGCACGCAGGCCTCGTAGTAGGGCAGGCGGTACACCTGTGGGAAGGGGCCCTCAGAGCCTGCCCGGTGCGCCCGCCTGGGCCAGGGTCCGAGGAGCGCACAGTGGGGGGGGCTGGGGGGGCCGGGGGGGCTGGGGGCGGGGGCCCACCTGGCTGTGGCAGGCGGCGAAGGTCTGGCTGTTGATGATGTTGCAGGTGCGCTCTGCCCACACGTGGCGGAAGGCGTTGAGGCTGCAGGGGTCCAGCGTGAGGCTGGCGTCTCCGCACAGGGGGCTGTCTTTCCACGAGTTGACGAATTCCAGCTCGTCGGACGCCACGTACTTGCTGCGTGTCTCAAAGTCGTCTTTCATGTTCCCGTTGTAGTTGCCGCACAAGCCGCACAGTGCGTCCTGCGGGGGTCTGGCGTCAGGCCGGGCGCCACCCCTGCCCCGCGGGCCGCCCCGGGCCTTGGGGCAGCGCCTGTACCTGGGCAGCACGCGTGATCTTGATGTAGACGGTCATGTGCTTGTTCCAGACGAGGGTCAGGTTGTACCTGCTACCGATGGTGATGTCCAGCACCAGGTTCAGGGAGCCGGTTTGCACCCGGAAGTGAACGTGAGGGTCCCCCCCACTGACCGTGTACGTCCTGTCCGCCAGCACTATGGTCAGGTCCTGTGGGGCGGGGCTGTCATGAGGCGGCCTGTCCCCAGTTCTTGGCGGCCGCCAGATGTCACCGGGCTCCACGTCCCCTGCCCGGGGCTCTCTGAGGCAGTGTGGACACGCATTGGGCCAGTGCCTGCCAGAGGCCAGTTCTGTGCTGGGGGCCTGCCCTCTGGATTTTGGGCAGAACGTTCCAGAGCGTGGTGGAAACTGAACCAGGGGCTGAGGATCAAGCTTCTGGGAAAAGCACCCCCCGCCCCTTAGCACCGCTATGTAGCTCCGGGGGCTCCTGCCGCCCACCACGCAGACGGCAGGGGTCTGGGGGTGCCCAGCGGCCAGGACCTGGGGCTCTGGTGGCTGACGTGTGAGGAGGCCCCACCCAGCCCGCTCACCCCCAGGAAGATCTTGACAGCCCGGGAGCAGGTGACGCCTGACTTCCCACACACGACGTTCTCTGTCAGGACTTGGAAGGTGGGCCGGGAGCTGTTGGCCCCGCAGCTGTCCTGTAGGGAGGGGGTGCTGAGGAGCCTGCCCAGCGGCCCCCGTGGCACCCACTGCCCACGGCCCAGGGCGGGGCCTTACTGTGGTCAGGACGTAGCTGCAGCTGCCATCGAACGTGAAGCGCTGCCCGTCAAAGGTGACCACGTGGCCCTCCCCGTACAGGGTGCAGGTAGACGAGCACCGGGCACTCTGCCCGCACGTCCACCTCCCCCCCGAGCAGGTGCTGGGGAGAGAAGCTGGTGATGTGGCATTCCAGGGGGGTCCCAGGCCCTACGTGCATTCCCGCTGGGCCCCGACCTTGGTGGGGTTGGTGGGAGACCCCGGGGACGCCTCCGGGCCACCGGGGCCTCCGGGGTAAGGTTGTGGCTTACCACGTCTTACAGTCAGTGTGGAGTTGGGCGCCCCGGGGGTAGGAGACCCCTGCAAACTCGCATGGACACTCCTCGGGGGGTACGCACTGCCCCCTGGCGTTCTCGTAGAGCCCCTCGGCACAGACACAGCCAGGCTCGCACTTGGTGGGCACCTGTACGGAGAGGGTCAGCGGTCCCTGGGAGGACGGCCTTGCCTGCTGCTGCCAGAGGGCCCTGGGCCCTCCTGAGACCCCCGGTATTCCTCCCAGTCTGTCCCCCGTGGCCACACCTGCTCCAGGCCCTTCTCTTAGCAAGGTCCTGGTGCTTATGTGTCACTGCTGAGCTGTGACATCCCCTCCCTGAGTGGTGGGAGGCCTGGCCACCAGGGCCACTCATGACCCTCTCAGCCCCCTTTGGGCACCGGCCACCCTCGTCACGGGCTGACGGGGACAAAGGGACAGCGTGGCCCTGCCTTCCCCGGGGATTTTGCGAAAATCCTCTCGTGGTCCAGGGAGAGGCCCTGGGCGGCGTCCGCCACAGGCTGTCCAGGGGGTCTACCCTCGGGGGACCTCCCTTGTCCCTCTGCCCCAAGTCTTACGCAGGGGATGCCACTGGCCAGCATCTGGCACGTGGGGGCACAGGCTGCCCCAAACGTGTTCTCCGAAGACTGGTTGCAGGACTGGAAGATCTTGGGGGCCGAGCAGGTGGCTGCAGGGAAGTTGGGGGGGGGGTGGGGCAGGGGTGAGGCCGGCTTAGAGGGTCCACGGCACGTGGCTGTCCAGTCCCACCGGCCTCTGCACAGCTACGTACCCAGGAGCATCTGCGGCCGCCCTGGGCAGCTCAGCCTCCCGTTGATGCAGTAGCTGCGAGAGGGGGGCTGTGTGAGTGTGCTGGCCCTGGCTGGGGGCCACGGGCTAGGGTGGGCCGGCTCCCCTGGGGACCCCTTGCTCACCAGATGACGCCGTTGACCATGGCAGACTGGTCAGCTCGGATGAACTTAGAGCCGTCCAGGAGGCAGGGGCACTGGGCCTTGCGCACGCACCGGGCCTCGTGGTCGAGGTAGGTGCCCTCGGGGCAATTACAGCCGTCCATGGGCACGGCACTCGGGTGGCACTCGGCAGCGCGGTCGGACAGTGAGAGGCACGTGCGGCCGCAGGCCCGGCTGTCGTAGCCGAATGTCTGGTTGCCCGTGCAGGGGGTGGCTGTGGGGGCGCTGGGGTCAGGCCCTCGGGGGGGTGGCTGGGTGGAACTGGGCGGGACCCCGTTGTGACCCCTGCCCCCCCTCCCCTATCCCCGCATGCCCTGGGCCCCTCCCACCCCTGCCTGCGCCCGCCACACGCACTGCAGTTGTCCACGCCGCTTCTCCAGCCCCGTAGCAGGACGCCCCGTGTGGCACACGCTCGGGCATAGTCACTCAGGACGGCGCAGATGTGGAGGAGGGTCTCCTCGTAGTTGCAGGCCTGGTACACGCACCTCTGCGGGTGGACAGGGCATGGTAGCCGGGGGACCCCCGACCCCCAGGGCCCACCCCTTGGGCCCCCCCACTGGCCCGCAGGCCCTGCCCACCTTGTAGAAGGGCCTGGGGTTCACCGTGGCATGGCACTTCTCGAACACCGTGCCCTCCCTCACCAGCACTGAGCAGCGGGTCTCTGCACACACCTCTGGGGGGACAGGGGCGGCATGGGTCTTGGGCTTACCCAGCCTGGGCCTCGTGCCCACCCGCGGACCTCCCCCGGGGCCTGGCACTTACTGTTGAGCTGGCTCATGGAGCAGGGGTCAGTCTCACGCTCAAGCGAGGCTGGGCAGTTCCCGGTCCGCCAGGAATCCACAAAGAGCGAGGCAGTGCCCTCAACGATGCCCGTGCTGGCCATGAAGTCATCGGTCGTGTCCCCGTTGAAGGTGCCACAGAGCCCTGCACCGGCCGGGCTGTGAGGCGGGGAGCCAGCCTGCTCTCCTGCCCTGCCCCAAACTTCAAAGCCCGTCTCCTCCCATCACCATGCCCTGGGCATGAGGCTGTCACTGGCTGCCACCTGGGAGGGCCAGCCTGGGGCCGTGAGCGCTGAACGAGCAAGACTCTCCTGGGCCCTTTCTCTGCTCTGGCCAAGCCGGGCAGGCCAGGGAGGGGCTCACCTGTGGTCTGGCCTCTGAACTGGGGCCCGACGGTGACGTACGCCTGGAACACGGGCTTTAGCTGGATCACGAGCTCCAGCCCGAAGGTGGTGGCCATCTGGAGGTGGGTGGACGTCTGCCTGAAGACTGTGATGTTGCCTGGGGGGACAGGGGGCTCAGGAAGCAGCCCACTTTGGGACTGTCTCCCAGTGCGGCCCTAGGTGGTGGGCAGGGGCTAAGGACGTACGAGTCTTGTATGGTAGCCACTTGGTATTTCCTTTGTTGGTGAGGACCTCGTCCTGAGAAATCACGATTTTGTCCTGGAGGGAGGGTGGCCTGAGTCAGGGGGGTGCCAGGAGCGGGGGGTGGCCTTCCCTCCTGCCAGGCCGGGTGAAGCAGGAGCTGGGACGTAGCAGGGATGCAAATGCTTGGGAACCCGGGGTGAGCACAGCAGTCGCGTGACAGGGGGGCCTTACCTGGCTGGACTTGTAGATGACAGCAGCTAGGGCGGTCTCCGAGTGAGAATGCCCAGACTTGTCGTACAAGGCCATGAGGGACCCCCCCTCGGGGAGCTGCGGGCTCTAGGAGGGGGATGTGGCTCAGCACAGATGGCCCGGGGGTGCTCGGTGTGACCCTCCCACCCCCGCTGTGGCGTGTCCTACCTGCAGGAGGATGTAGGTGCAGGTGCCGTGGAAGCGGTAAGGCCTGGCATCGAACGTGGTGACAAAGGAGCCGCCTTCCAGAGAGCAGCGTCGGGGGCAGGGCTGCTCTGTGCACTTCCACTGGCCCATGGTACACTGGCTGCAGACCGGGAGGGGGTGACCCAGCTGGCACCCCCAGACGCTCCAGGCTGGCAGAGCTGGCTGCCTCGGGCGCTGAGGTTGCCCCTTATATGTACCCTGTGTCCCGCCCCCCACAGCTCCGTCTTGCCCGTGTGCCCTGGCAAGCCGTCTGGCACTTACCAGGTCTGGCAGGCGGATGTCATGACCTCCCCAGGGGCGTAGACCACCCCGCCGAGCACGCAGGGGCACTGGGTGACCGGCACGCAGGTGTGGTTTTTGGAGATGTCATCGAGAACCGTATCTGCAGGAGAGGGCATTCCTAGGCCCGGTGCTGGATGCCCTCCCACGCCCTCGCTGGGCAGTCCTTCCCGGCTCCTGTCCCTCTGTTCCCTGGCCCCGTCCCCCGCTTGCACTTGCAGCCACCCTCCCCTCGAGCCAGGGTGCCCAGACCCAGGTGCTGCTCCTGGTCGGATCCGGTGCCCTGTGTTCTGGCGCTCTCTTGGACCCCCCAGTGACCTCCCTCCTGCCCTCACCTCCTGGACAGAAGCAGCCGAAGGTGCAGAAGCTGGAGCAGGCGTGCTGGGGGTTGGAGCAGGTCCTGATGCAGGCCTCGCCGCACTCCTGGTACACCTGGTTGGCCGCGCACTGGCCCAAGGCTGCAGGCACGCGCGGCCTCCGTGAGAGCCCGCCCCTCCTGCCCCGCCCCACCAAGGGCCTAGCCCAGCCCTCCTCCACCCGCTCTCCTTCCGTCTCACAGACATGGGGGGGGCGGCACGGGGGGCCTCTCCCCAGGACTCACAGCAGAGGCCGGGGCCCCGCCAGTTGCTGACGGCCTGGCCAGCCATGCTGCACTGGCGTGAGTACTCAGACAGCGTCGCACAGCTACAGTCCCGCCGGCCTGGCGGGACGCACGCAGCCATGTCCACCTGGCAGCTCAGCACGAATGTCTCTTTGGGCACGTTGCACTCGGGGGACACCAGGGTCAGCAGCTGGCTGCAGGTCTGGGCCTGGGCAGAGGGCCATTCGGGGTTTTGGGGGTCAAGGCCGATCCCACACCAGCCTTAGAAGGCTAGGGGTGTCGTTGGCCTCGGAGAGCCCCTCACGCTCCACCGGCCGGCCCCGACCGTGGCTGAACGGCTACCGCGGCCCCTGGGGTCCCCGTCACCTCACGTACATGCTCTGCCTGTGGGACCCAGGGGCTGGGGACGGCCTCGTAGGTGCAGATCTCGTTGGGGTCATCCAGCGTCTGGAGGGCGGCGTACACGTGGGGTTCCAGGGGTTTGCCTAGGGGTGGGGGGCGGAGCAGGGTCAGCACCCTGGGGCCGGGCCTCAGGGGGTCTGGGCCCCGGCCCCCACCTACCTTCCTCACTCAGAAACTCGTCCGTCCGCTCGCCGTTGAAGTCTCCACAGAGACCGCACAGCCTGCCCCTGTGCCGCTTCTCGACGAGCACCTGCGGTGGCGGGTGGGTGGGCACCGCCGTCAGGGGGCCCCGGGACCCTCGCCGCACCGGTGGGGTGAGCCCGGGCCCGCCCAGGCTCCTGGTCAGTGCCCCACCCTGGGAGGACCGTGCCCCGGCCCCCCACCCCTGCCGGCGTCCTCACCATGAGGTGGGTGCCTGGGCCCCACATGACCACCAGCTCCAGCTCTAGCTGCTTGGTCACCAGCTGCACGCTCTGGCCGAAGGGTGTTATCTGGAGCCCGTTACTGGTGTAGGGCAGGCTGACGACCCTGTGGGACGAGAGTGGTCAGGGACAGCCCCCTTGCCCGCCCAGCCTCCCACCCCAGCCACGTGGCCTACCCCACATCCTTGACGGAGATGACTGCCTTCTGCACGGTGACCACAGAGGCCCCCAGCTCCACAATGATCCGGGAGATGCTCCCGCTGGGCTCTCGCCGTAGCTGGACGCTGAAGGTGGGCGACGCGTCTTTGCAGGTGGCAGAGAAGATGTAGTTGCAGGTTCCCGGGAAGTCATACACGTGGCCGTCGAAAGTGGAGAAGTGTCCGGCCCCCCATGTGGAGCACCAGCCCTTGTCTGAGCCTGTGGGGGTAGCGGACAGAGTCTCGGGGCCCTGTGTCCACCTGGCTGATGGGGCAGGTGTGGGGAGGCTTGACCCCACGAGCTGGGCCCCTGGCTAAGTTCCAGGCCCTCCTGGTGTGGGCGGGAAAGAGGCCCTGCCCGCCCCGCAGTCCCAAGCCAGCTGCGGGCTGGGTCTGCCTCCCAAGCCTTACAGGAACTGAGGCATCGGCCCCGGGGTCTGCAGGGCACAGAGCTGCAGCTCAGCACCCACGCGGGCACCTGCCCCCTCCGGCTGCGTGGGCTTGTTTCCCTCCAGGCGAGGGGCCGGCTGAGACTTTGCGGAGCTGGGTTCCCCTCAGGGAAACCCCAGACCACGGCGACCCTGTGGCCTCGGTGCTCCGGGCAGCTCTGCAGAACGGGATGGGAGGCTGGCTGTGGCCCTCACCTGACTTTGGGGAGTCCTGCAGCCTCTGGAGGCCCGGGTGCACAAAGGAGGTGTCGTCTAGGCCTGTGTGGACAGAGGCTGCGGTCAGCACCGCCCCGGGTGTGCGGCTTGTCGGCCAGGAGCCGTGTGGCGGGAGCTCAGAGCCTGCTGGCTCCGGCTCTACTCCTCACGCCCTCCGAGCAGCCCGGCTCAGCCACGTGTGTCACACGTGCACACGTGCACGGGGTCCCTGCGTGGGCAGGCCGGTGCACGTGCGTGTGTGGAAAGGCAAGGAGCGGGGCCTGAGGGCGAGGAGATGGCAGTCGGGGGTGCTGGGAGGATGGAGAGGCCCCTGGGGGAACGAGAGGTGTGCGGCCCCGTGCCAGTCCTGTGGGCGGAGTGGGGCGAGGGGTCCCTGTGCCCCGCCGCACCTGCGGTCTGCCTGCCGGGCTCCCAGCACTCACCCTGCAGGCGCCCCCCAGGTTGAACAGAGAGAGCCCCCCACGCAGGACAAGCTGCCTGGCTCCCCTGTGGACCCCGGGCGGGAGGGGCCTTGTGGTCACTGAGCAGGAGGCCGCGAGGCGACCTGGGGAGGGAGCGGGCCCCTGACAGCACAGGGCTGGGCCTTGGAGGCGAGCCGGCCTGGAGTCGGTGGGCGGCTGTCCGGGCTGTCCTTCCGTCTGGCTGCACCCCACCCACCGTGCTCCCAGGGGTGAGGTCCAGAGTCCCTGGGGGGCTACCCCGTCTACCAGCCGCCCAAAGTGGCTGCGTTCCTACTTCCTCCCTCCCTGTCAACCTCTTAGTCTTGGGATCGTGGTGACCGTTACTAGAGAAATGCCCGGTGAAGACGGTCACGTGACCGCCAGGGGCAGGAGTCGCTGACCCTGCTGGCGACTCCAAGCGCAGCTGGAGTCGGGGGCCTCACCTGTGGGCCGTGGCCTCCTCGGCTCTCCCGCCCTGCCGTGCTCCCAGTGCCTCCGTCCCCCAGACCCATTCGGGCCCTCAGTTCTGCCGAGGCTCCCACCTGCTTCAGCAGCCTGTGCAGCTGTTGGGGTTCCTGATCCTGCCCCCTCCCCTGTGCTCCCTCTGCCTCTGGCTCTGCCGTGTTTCTGGGTCTCAGGGCGATGCCAGGGGATGGGGACAACTGCCCGGTGGCCGAGGGGGTCCCCAGATGGGGCAGGTGGCATAGAGGCTGTGTTGCTCTAGTTCCAATGGGCTAGTGACACTTGGTCTCCTGGGCCTCTTCCCTCCACGGTGTCCCCCACACGGGTCCCCATCTCTGCCCCTCCTCTCAGTTCACCACCGCCCCCAGGACACGTCCGGCTGTATCCTCTGCCCCACCCCCCGCAGCGGGTCACTCCCTGGTCCCCCCCCCTTGCAGTGGCTACTCCACCAGCTCCTCGTCCCCCACTGCCAGCCTCACTGAGGCCCTCCGGCTCTGTGTCAGCCGTGGCCCCCACCACTGGCGGCGGAGGCTCCCTTGAGGCACACTCAGGAGGCAGGCCGGGGGGCCCTCTGCACTTCCCGCTCAGAATCCCAGGACAGGCATGGCCCCTGCCCTGGACCCACGGGGCCCGCAGGGCGGGCGGCTCTGCCATCCCAACCGTTCTCAGCCCCGCAGGCCACGGCGCCGCCAGAGCACGTGCTGTGTCCCTTCTACAAGCTGGGAGACCCTGGCCGCCCCTGCCCGTTCTGTCTCCACCCCGGCCTGCCTCAGGAGCCTTCTTCCTGTACCTGCCCCAAGTCCCCAGCACTCCAAGGCCCCTGCATCTGAGCTTGTGCTCTTGAGTCTCTGGTCCAGGAGGGCAGGGCCCGCCTTTCAGCACCCTCACGCGAGTTGGTGCTCAGAGGGCGTTTGCCGAAACGTGGATGGATGGAGCCTGTGGCACTCACAGCTGGACCCCCATGGCTCGACATCCACTCGTCACACCGGCAGGCCTGCACCCCACCCCGGCTGGCTTCCGGGTGCCCCCCTTCTCGTCCTGGTTCTGGGTCCAGGTCTCAGAGGGGACGTGCCCAGGCAAGTGGCCTTGGCTGGCCAGGGGTCCTGAGGGCTCAGAGCCACGAGGGTGAGGGACAGGCTTCATGGGAGGGAAGGGGCGGGGCGGGCCGAGGGGAGACCCACTGGGCTCAGGAGTTCATGACCCACCCCCAGTACCTACACCCAGGGTCCCCGGCCGAGGGCCCGCCAAGGAGGGAGCAGCCGACCAAGGATTAAGGAGAGAGAAGAAACCAGTCATGCTGGGCTCGGGCAGAGAGAGGCCCAGAGGGCTTGGTGCCCGCAGTCTCTGGGCCACCGTAGGACCCCTTGGGGCTGGCTTGGGGGCAGGAGTGAAGGCTGTGCTCAGCCTGTGGCATCGGGGGGTCCGGGGTGGTTACCAGCAACCGGAGGTGGGGGTGAGGGGAGGGGGAAAGGGACCCCTGCTCCTTGGGCCTGCCTGGGAAGATGGGGCGGGAGGAAGCGGCAGCCCTGTCTGAGTCTCTGCAACGGTGGTGGTGGCCCTGGGCCCTGACATGAGCCCCCTTCCGGCCCCGCTTCCTTAATCCTTACGGTAGCCACATGGGGGGGGGGGGGATGTTTCCTCCACTTTTACGGGCAGCGAAACTGAGGCCTGGAGCCCACTTTGTGGCTGGTCTGTTCATAGGACCCAGTGGAGCTGGGGTCTCCAGCTGGGCCCTTTGGCTCCAGCACCCACGAGGCCGCTGCCCTGCTCCCTACACCCTACAGCGCTCTCAGGTCCTGGGGCCCAGTGTGCAGAGCGGAGCCCCGGGCAGCACCGTCCTGTCCAGCATGCCCGCGTCTCCCTGCACGCACGGTTGTTGAAGAGACTGTGTGTCCCCGAGGGACCCCTGCCCTGCCGCGGCCCAGCGTCCTTTCTTGGCCACTGTGCCCAGGGCAGGGGTGAGTGGCAGCCTGCTCTCCGGCAGAGGCCCGGGTCTTGGCGAGTGGCGGGCAGCTACAGAGCAGGGAGGGGCCTCCGCTCCATTGACGTCCTTGCGGCCAGCCTGACGCCGGGGCAGCGGGCGTCTGTCCGCCCCTGTGGCGCGGCCTGCGGGCCCCCACTCACCAGCGCCGAGCAGGGCTCCCCCGCAGGACAGGAGCAGCAGGAGCCGAGGCCCCAGCATGATGCGTGAAGAGAGGTCACCGCTGGACCCGGCGCCTCCTGTCGCGAACACTGGGCAGGCTCCCTGCACCTGGGTGCAGCCCGAGTGGCCGGCCCCGGACGCCTTATGTAGTGGCTACAGGCCCCGCCCCTGCCTCACCCACTGGGCACCGGGGTGGCCAGACAGGACTTGGCCTTCGGAAAGCTCTTTGGTGGGCGGTTGCCCCATTATCGCTGGCCTCCAGGCAGGGGCCAGCATGGGCCCTCCAGGGCCTTGCAGACACGTCCTGTGTTTGCTCCAGGCTGAGGTGGCAGGGGCACCATCAGCCACACCTTGGGGGCTGAGAGGGTGCTCGCCCCGGGCGTGCAGGGAGGCTCCTGGGCACCGCTCGTCCCTGGCGGGGGAGCCCACCAAAGTGCTCGGATGGTCCCTGGGGTGGACTCCACCCTCATCCAGACCCTAGCACCCCCAGAGGTGCCAGCCTGCCCAGCCCCACCCCTGCCTGGGAGCAAAGACCACCCAGTGGAAGGACCACATTTTGGGGTGGGGCCATCACTGACAGCAGCAGGCCTTGGGACACCTCCCCGGGGCCGATACCACCCCAAAGTGCAGGGGCCCCCGTTGGGCACCTCCTCCCTGGTGATCCTTCCCCCCCAGCCCCCTGGGAGGGTGAAGCACCAGAGTGGTCCTGCTGTATCCAGAAGGGCCCCCGTTACCTTTTTCTGACCCCCATGGCTCTGAGTTGCTTGTAGGCAGAGGAGTAGGGCCGGAGCGGCCACAGGGGGCTGCCCATCTGGGAGGGCATCTCTGTGGGGGCTGGGTGCCAGCCTCTGGGTGCCAACCTCCCAGGCAGAGGAGCAGGGGCTGTGCCCACTGCCTCCTGGGAGAAGGGCATGGCTGGAGTTGGGGGGGCGGGGGGCAACAGCTCAGGGGACAGGGAGTGGGCAGGACACGGGCCAGTACCGAGAAAGGGGTCAGGGTTAGGCCCAGGATGAGGATCATGATCAGGGCAAAGGTCAAGATCATGGTCAAGGTGAGGGTCATGATCAGGGAGGGTCAGGAGGTGTGTGTGTTTCGGATCCTTTGTGGGATCTTCCAGCAGTCGGGGAGCAGGTATGGGTTTGATGATTCTCCAGGGCAGCCTGGCCTTAAATGGGAGCCTGTGTGGGACCCCCATGTAGGAGCCTGGGGCCCTGGTACAGGGGCTTCCCCTTTCCTGAGGTTGGTTCTGGCCCCACAGAGACTTGGGGGTGCAGGAAACCTGGCCTCCTGCTGCCGAGGAACCCCCAGGCTGAGCTCCCCACATGACACTCCACCCTGCCTCACAGACACCTGTGTTTACGCTAAATAAGCTATAGTCTTAACATAAAATTGTTTAAAAATTTTTTTTTGTTTGTTTATTTTTGAGAGACAGAGTACGGGAGGGGTAATGGCAGAGAGAGAGGGAGACACAGAATCTGAAGCAGGCTCCAGGCTCTGAGCTGTCGGCACAGAGCAGGATACGGGGCTCAAACCCACAAGCTGTAAGATCATGACCTGAGCCGAAGACGGACACTTAACCGACTGAGCCCCCAGGTGCCCCTTAACACAAAATTCGTTTCATGGAGAGCTGCACTCAGCGGCAGCTGGCCCTCTGGTCCCTGAGTCTGGGCCAGGTGGGTGTAAGGTCCCCAGGTGTGCTAGGCACTCCCATGCCTGCGTTTTCCTTTAACTCAGAAGCAGAGGTGGATAAGGAGGGGTTCCAAGATGCTCTCCTGCGCTCCTCTGCCCTGAAACCACCCCTGCTGGGGTCACTGCGGCCAGAAGCCTGGGCACACAGGGTGAGGTCTGTCCAGGCTCTGCCGTGGGGCCACTGTGGGGGTTCTCCCTGCCCTTGGAGAGCTCACACCCTCATGGGGGTCTCACATCGAAGCTCTGAACTTAGAGGGGGCAAGCCGTTGGGTGGGCGGGGGCTGAGGTCCCACAGGGACAGGTGGGTGGGTCCTCCTTGAACCTCAGCCCTGGCCAGGATGCTCGGTGGGTAAGGGTGCCTAGACAGGTGGCAGTGGGGAGGTGACTTAGCAGACCTTAGGACAGGCAGGATAAGGAGAGAGGCCCAGAACCCTGCTGGAAAAACATACCTGGGATGCCTGGGGCCCTCTCCCACCAATTAAAGCCACCCTTGAGGTCCCCTTGGGCCAGGGCTGCCAGGCCTTGTTCTCTGCCTGGACCCTTGTGAGCCCCGCCACCCCCCCCCCCCCAGCTGCTTTGCCCACCCACAAGTGGAGTTCTTACCCAGCCACAGGGCTGCCTGCTACCCCTCCCAGGAGGCACCCGACCACAGGGCCTTGGCACGGGCCGCTCAAGCCTCAGGACATGCCAGGGGGACAGCAAGGAATGGAGCCAGAGAGGGAACTGTGGTCATGGGCACACCCCCGGATCACTGACGTGTAGGACCTGGGGGAGGGCCAGGGCTTGTGGCACATAAGGGGTCCCCACCTTGGGGTCTCCAGTGGCACCCCTCCCCCACCCCCCCAGCAGCTTGAAGGACTCCAGTGTGGCCCCAGCAGAGCTTGGGTCACCGGGACTGCCAACGAGGCTGTCATGGGGCCTGGACTAAAGAAATCTGTATACGTGTGCATGTGTGAGACTCGGTTTGAGTTTCCTGGAAAAAGCTGTACATTCCAGGGGCTGTCACCTCCCAGCTGTTCAGGCCTTGTGTGCACAGTTAGTGGACGGCTCTCGCCTGGAGCCGCGGGTCCCAGGTCCCTTTCTATACACCGGTTTGGCGGGAAATCAGGCAGAATGGCGTTTCTCTTTGCTGACCTGGGAGCCCTGAATGTGCTGAGCAAACAGTAGGAGATAAGACTGTGTGCACCCATTGTTCCCGGCCGTGCGGGTGATAAAGGCACAGCCCGCTGGCCAGCCTTGGGAAGCGGAACCCACGGGCTGGACAAATGGGTGATTGTTCGGCCTCAGACCCCTGCCCTCGCCCTCTGTCTGCATGGCGGGGCCCTGAGCGGCACATCTGGCCCCGGGCCCCGGCTGGCGCTCCAGAGGGCCCGCAGCCCCAGGGCCCAGTGTCTCCGCAAAGGGGCCCTTCACGGCCCAGTCGGGAGGGCGGGTGCTGGCCCCTAGGTAGTGGCTCTCCCGGAGGCCTTGACCTGACCTTCACTTGGGACCGAGAGCCTGCTTGAGGATGTAGGCATTCACCGCCGGGAGGTGCTTCCAGAAAGCTCCTGAGCAGGCTTGGGGTCCCCAAGACCCTGGGTTTGCTGGACCCAGGTTTGTGGAGGGGAAAGCGCCAGAGTACACAGTGGCCAGCCAGCCCCTCTGGGCCCCACCGGCCAGGCGTGGCATTCCTCAGGGGAAGGCAGGTCAGGCTTCACCCCAGGCTCGAACCACGGCTCGGCCCCAGCGATCACCGCCTGATCCAAGTGCTGAAGACCACGGCTTTGGGGAAAGGTTTCCATACGGGAGCCGAATGTGTCCCGGGCCTGGCCAGCGGCCGTGACCTTTCTGAGGGGTGGGCCCGGCAGCAGCCAGGGAGGCTGTGGTGACCGACAGCGCTGGGGTGTGTGGCCCACATGGGGTTCCATTGCTGGGTGCGAAGTGGGGCGTCCTCCACCCCTGCCATCAAGGACAGAGTTGAGGGGCTGGGCTCAGCCCTGGGCACCTGCCGATTGGGGACATTGTGCAGACCAGGGGACCCAGGGCCTGGAGGGGCCTGGGAGGGGACCCGGCAGTGGAGGGACCTCTGGCCTGTGGCGAGAGTCACTCCAGCCCCACCTTTGCCCCAAGATCCGCGTGTAGCTGGGGGCCCAGCAGGTGCCCCTCCTTCTCTCTCTCTCTCTCTCTCTCTCTCTCTCCCCCCACCAAGTGTCATTCTTGATCCCCACCCCCCGCAATCTGCAGCCCCTTCCTCCTCAAGACCCCCAGCCCTGGAGCTGCAGGCCTGCGACCCCAGGTACCCCCGTCATGCCCCAGCCTGCCTCACTTGCCCTGCTCTCTGGCCCCCTGCCCCCCTCCCGGGCCGGCCCCTCCAGACCCCAGCCCTGCTGAGGCAGCACCATAGGCAAGGGGCCCCGGGGCCACCCCTGCTCCCTGAGCCACTCCTCCTGTGGTCCCGGGGCCACCCTGCCGCCTGCCCTCCCCCCCAACCCCGCACCTGACCCTGCTAGGTCTGCACCTTTAACCTCTGCCTGCCCTAGGCCTGGATTTGGGATGGGTGCTGCCCACCCGGGGCCAGGGCACCGGCCGGCACCCCCTGCCTTCCGTCGGGGGCGGGGGGGACCCTGTGCTGATTCCCGTGGTAGCTGAGTGGCTTGTTTCCCCAGCTCCAAGTGGAGGGTCCGGAACCCTCTGTCCCCTCAGCTGAGGACCCCCAGGGACTGACTGCAGTGATGTGCCCCCAGCCCCTGGTTGGCCCCCAGCGGCCCCCCCCTCCCCGCCTTGGCTGAGTGCCCCCCACACCTCTGTGCTGGGGCCCCGATTGCCAGCGGATGTTGGGAGAAAAGCAAACAGATAAGGTCGGTCAGGCAGGATTTGGGGTTTGGGCCCCGGTGGCAGGAACACCGCGAGCCAGGTGGGGGGGGGGGGTTATCTGGCCTCCCAAGTATGGAGGTGGCAGGTTCTGGAGTGTTTGCTCTCCGCTGGTGGCCCGGGGGTGGAGGCTGATGTTGGCGAGCACATTGGGAATAGGGGGGTCATGTTGGGGGGCGTCCAGTTCCGGCTGCGCCCAGACGGGGCAGCTGTCTGCAGCACATGCTTGCTTCTCTCCGTCACGTGGGTCCGCGCTGTGGCCACAGCCCTCCCCGGCCCTTGCCGTGTGCTCACGCGGGGAGAGAGGCAGGAAGGAGCGGCCTCTTCTTACAGGGGCACGAATGCCATCCTGGGGGCCCCAGCCTCACGACCCCATCAGCTCCCAAGGGCCCACCTCCTAATTCCACTCCCTTTGGGGAAGAGCTTCAACATATGAGGTTTTGGGGGGTGGTCGCACACAGGTGGTTCATCACAGTGTGGGAGGTAATCAGGCTTGGGGGTCCTGCCGGGCCACGAGTCGGATGGTCTCTGAGGGCAGACGTCTTCTGAGCTGGGAAGGCCCTGAGCGGCCCAGGAAGGCTTCCTGGAGGAGGTGGGCTAAAAGTGTGGGCCAGACAGACCGTCAAGGCCAGGAGCTGGGCCAAGGGAGGGAGAGGTCACGCCAGAGTGTGTCCTGGCTCTAGAGTGAGCTGGAGGAAATGGAGAAACTGAGGACCGGGGATGGGGGAAAGAGGAGGGGCCCTGCACGAAGGGGAGAGGCAGCCGGCGAGGGTGGGCCCAGCCAGGTCCGAGGGGTCCTGGGGCAGGCTGGCACTGCCCGGTGTGGCCTGCAGTGCTCCGGGAGCAAGACCGGCGCTCCCGTGGCCCACCACGGCTGGTTCCACGTGGCCGGTCAAGGACACAGAGCACACCGTACGGGACCAGGTGGCCTTCTAGGGTCACTCACACCAGGGGCCGGCCCAGGGGGGCCTCAAGTACTCCCTACTTGCTAAGCAAGTACTCCCAGCCTTCGGACCGCTGCTGGCCTGCCCTGCAGGGGGGCCCAGAACACACCGGACGAGAGGGCCAAGGCCCCGAAAAAGCCTGCGTGGCAGGGAAGGTCCCAGGGGGTCTGAGGCTCCAGACCCATCCAGCGTCAGGGGGCAGGGGGCTGAGACTGGCCTTGGGAACAGCCAGTTCCACGGTCCCCTCCTGCTAAAGCAGCCCCCGTGGCTGGGGTTAGGAAAGTGGGCTGCACCTGGGTGGAGGGACACAGAGGTCCCTCTGACCCTAACCTTCCCCCCCGACCTGAGCACAAGAGGAGGTGACACGGATGGTGTGGCCGACTCACCTTCGGAGGCTTGTTGGGGGCACTGACACCTGCCGTGTGCAGACGGTGGCCTCGGTGGCCTCCCTCTGCAGAGTTTCAGGAGGGGCACGGGGGGGGGGAGGGGCGAGAGGGCCCCGGCTGGTGGTGGCTGGACCCTGGCCAGAGGACACTTCCGCGCACCCCACTCCCAGCCCCGCCGCAGAGGCAGGACCCC